ATGGGAAAGTGACACTGCGCCCAAGCTGAGCTGTTGCTGAGCTGCCATGAGGTGGCAGGATGGCTCAGCAGGTGTAACAACAAGACTGCCTGTTCGATGGTGGGCTATGCCCACCTGCAACTAAGACTGAACTCGGCACCTTGAGCTGAACTGCTGCTCGGATGGCTCAGTGGATAGAGCATGCGCTCTTAATAACAGGCTGCTGGTTCAACTCCCGCATGGGATGGTGGCTACACCCACCCGCAACTAAGATTGAACACAGCACCTTGAGCTTAGAAGCCATGAGCTGCCGACAGGAAGCCAGACGGCGACTAGCGCCCTCCACAACGAAGACTGAAGAACAACAACTTGGCTGGTCCCCTTCCCCAACTCCCCAAAACTGTTTCTCTCCTCCAATTCCCCCAATAAAATCTTTAAAAATATAAAATAAAATAAAGTAAAATAAAATTTGGTTTAAAAAGAAACAAGGAAATTCTCAAATGAACAACCTAACATTACGTCTTAAAGAACTAGAAAACGAAGAACAAATGAAGCCCAAGTCAGCAGAAATAAGGAAATGATAGAAATTAGAGCAGAATTAAATGAAACAGAAAAGAAAATACAAAAAAATTAATGCAACAAAAAGCTGGTTCTTTGAAAAGATTAATAAAATTGACAAACCCTTAGCTAGACTCACTAAGGGAAAAAGAGAAAAAACACAAATAAACAAAATCAGAAATGAAAGAGAAGTTATAATAGATACCAAAGAAATACAAAGAATCATACAAAAATACTATGAAAGACTACCTGCCACCAAATTTAATAACCTAGAAGAAATGGACAAGTTCTTAGAAATATATAGTCTTCCTAGACTGAATCAATAAGACTGGAAAATCTAAATAGACTGATCAATATTAAGGAAATTGAAACAATCATGAAAAACCTCACCAAAAGCAGAAGTCCAGGACCAGGTGGCTTCACTAATGAATTCTGCCAAACATTCAAAGATGATTTAATACCTGTCCTTCTCAAAAGCTTCCAAAACACTGAAGAAGAGGCAATACTTCCTAATTCATTTTATGAGGCCAACATTACCCTGGTACCAAAACCTGGTAAAAATAACACATAAAAGAAAACTACAGACCAATATCTCTGATGAATACAGATGCAAAAATCCTAAATAAAATACTAGCAAAATGAATAAAATAATACATCAAAAAGATTATACATCACGATCAAGTGGGGTTCATTCCAGGGGTGCAAGGATGGTTCAACATACACAAATCAATCAATGTGATACATCACATAAATAAAATGAAGGATAAAAATCATATGATCATATCAATAGACGCAGAAAAAGCATTTGACAAGAAAGAACATCCATTTATAATTAAAACACTTAATAAAACAGGTACAGAAAGAAAGTACCTCAACATTAATAAAGGCCATATACAACAAACTCAAAGCTATTATATACCTAATGGTGAGAAAATGAAATTCTTTCCTCTAAGATCAGGAACAAGATAGGGATGCCCCCCATCACCACCATTATTCAACATTGTATTGGAAGTCCTAGCCAGAACAATCAGACAAGAGAAAGAAAAGGCATCCAAATTAGGAATGAAGAAGTCAATTGAAAAAAAAAAAAGTCAATTGTCACTTTTTGCAGACAACATGATTCTTTATATAGAAAACCCTAAAGACTCCACCAAAAAACTATTAGAAACAATAAACAAATACTGTAAAGTTGCAGGATACAAAATCAATGTACAAAAATCCATTGTGGTTCCTATATACTAACAACGAAATTTCAGGAAAAAAAATGAAAAAAACAATTCTTCAATTGCAACAAAAAGAATAAAATACCTAGGAATAAACTTAACAAAGAATGTGAAGGAGCTATATGCTGAAAACTACAAAACATTATTTAAAAAAATTGAAGACACAAATAAAAGGAAAGATACTCTATGGTCATGATTGAAAGAATCCACATATTTAAATGGCCATGATACCCAAAGCAATATACAGATTTAATGTAAACCCCATCAAAATCTCAATGGCATTTTTTTTTAAAGACTTTTACTGGGGAATTGGGGGGATGGGAACAGTGCTGGGGAGTTGGGGGAAGGGGAACAGACAAGTTGCTGTCGTTTTGTTCTTCAGTCTAGTTGT